TTTAAGTCTTTTAGAATTTTATATGTTTATACATATAAATTGTTTTCCTGTAGAATAATATTAAAAATGCATTCCAAATAAAAAATACTAAAGCTTATTTCTGTAGAGTACTACTTTAAAAAATACATCTCAGTCATTCGTAATACTTCAGCAATGGGTATTTAATATACTCAAATTGCGTCATACATTTAAAATGCTGATGTTGTCATAATTTGTCCCCAGCCATGTTACACTCTGTGTAATTAGCTTGGTTTAACAGATCATCTGACTACCTTATAAAACCAGATTACCTTATCAGATTAAGGAACCAGTGAGTAAATTTGTCTGCCAAATGGACACACTGTATTGCTTTAGGATCTTACAACTCTTCTGAAATCCTTTGAGCCTTTAAAGGGTCTACAGAAATAAAACAAGATGTAAAAAAAGTCCAAATTAATTTAAAAAGTACTTGACACAGAAAATAGAAAACTGGACTTGTGAGATTATATTTGTTGCATGTATACTATTTATTAGCAAACAAAGCACCTAATTCAATGACTATAATCCTTCCTGTAGAATAAACTAACAACTATAGGAATATGTAATATTGTTTATCTTTAAAAAGATTTCTTTAGTGACCTCAAAACTAGTAGATTCCAAGCAATTCAGGGTGCTTTGCTGACCAATGAACTACAGTAATATAAGAAAAAAAGTGTGATGATCCTCATTTCCTTCAAAAATCACCTGTTCGGCGAGGCTTTCTTGCAGTTCTGTATTGAAAATGTTCACTTTATCCCTAAACCCCATACTCTTTTCACTTTTCACCCAACCCCATACTCTGCCCTTCCTGGCTGCCCCACCTCCCATTCCTGAGATCTTATCACTACATAATATGTCCTATATTTGACTCATATTGTCTTTATTTAGTATCTGCATCCCCCACTAGATTTTAAGTCCCTGGAGGACAGAGATTTCAATGTTTTGTTCACTGTCGAACCTACTGCAGTCTTTGGAATATTATAGGCATGCAAATATTTTTTAAACAAGTAATAAAATGAGTACATTTTTTTCTTAGAGAAAGCACTCTTTGTGACGTAATTTTAACCCTGAAGCCAAAAAAATAGCTATTCCATTTTTCTCATGCTAACACCAACAGACATTGATAGCTGATTTAGAAATACATACAGCCTTACAAAGAATATAAACTGTTTATTTAACATGATAAAACTGAGGCAACAGTGATAATTCAGTTCCATTATTAGTATGGGTTGAGTCCTAATAAGTACAAAAAGTGGCTTATTAGAGGCAGAAATGGAATGAGATGTTTCTTCGGTCTTACCATTCTATTCAGTTATGCTACTACTTCATTTTTGAAAATGATGTTGTCAAATGAGAGACAGGAGGGGAATAACCATGTGTAGTTAGAAAACCAACAAAAAATGGTATAGAAAAATAGAACTGTCTGACCCATTAGAGAGAGACCCATCCAACATAAACGGTTTGTAGCTCAAAGGAGTCCCTTACTCAGAGAAGACAGGCACATGGACAAGCTGTACCTGGTTTTTCTTTTTTCTTACAATGCAAACAAAAAATAGGCAAAATGTTTACCATTAAAAAAAAAGAGAAAGGTTAACATTAACCTTTTGACCACTCTTAGTTTTCACATCAGAGTATTCATGGCATGGAACCCGCTCAGCTATACACCAAGCTATGAGATGAGTGGGAGTTAAAGGATGATACTTGTATGACTGTTTGAGACACTGGGTTCAAGCTCTAGGATCATAAGTATGTTTAAGTCTGATTCTTTAAGCCGTCTAAAGCTCTGTGAAGACACAAGATGATCCCCATTCAAAAATCTCTTAGCTTTATTTTGCTGAATAGAGTCATATACCATGACAGAACATTTTCAATTATGAGATGGCTCAGAAAGTATATAAGAATTCAGAGAATACTGAGACCTATGCTTTATAGTACCAAGAATTTAATTTTTCATTTGAAAGAATAAAATCTATCCAGTGAAGTTCCAATTATAGATTTCACAATGAATTCTACTTATTACTTCCTGGACCTATCAATTCCATTAATAGATGAATATCTTTTCTGAATCATAACTCAAGAAGAAATGCCAGTATTTTATCAATGATATTTATATCAGAAACAAAGACAATAAGCCCATTGTACTTCAATGCACTGGTCATTTATATACAGCAACAGGAATTCTAGGGAAAATGCCAAAAATAACTAATATGCATATGGATAGTAGGACAGAATTATATGCTCTTCATTTCAGACAAACCAGTGGGGGTAGGAGAGAGAATAGAATTTTGACTTTTATAGTGCAGTGGCTAGGAAGGGGGAGGAGAAATGAACAAATTATCAAATAAATTTCCACATACCATACAAAGTAAGATTATAAGGATTCCTAGTTAATTTAGAAAAAAATACATAAAAGTAACTCTCCATTGAAGCATATTACTTTGACTAGACTCTAATATAAAAAATAAAAGAATCCTACCAAGCAAGACTTCCCACCAAGACAGCAGCACAGGCAGCATGGCCTCTTTGTACAACCCCATCAAAATTACAAATGAAATATAGAACAACTGTAACTTAGAACCAACAGAAGCCAAACTGAATGGAAGTCTGACAACTACGAAACGGAGTTGAATGGAAGTGTGACAACTACGGAATTAAAGGAACCACACCCATCCAGACAAGTAGGAGGGATGCAGATGTGGAATGGCCTGGTCCCCCTCAGTGAGCCCCAAGGGCAGGCACTAGCAGCAGCCAGCCTAGATTCTAAGCTTGGCTTCAAATGGGAATCTCTAAGCCCAGCACAAGTAGCAGCCCAGATTGCTTTATAGCTCAGGCGGGGTGGCCCTGGGCAGAATACAGGTGATGGCTGACCCAGGTCTCAACCACCTGGGAAACCCCAGGGCCTGTGCACCCAGTGGACAGCTACAGATCAATTCAGAGCACCACCAACCTGCCCCTGCACAGCTGATCCTCCATGGAGGTAAAAGGTTGATAGTGAGTGGTCACAGCCAGTCCTTGCAGCTGGCTGGCCTGGGTAAATCCCTCCCATTGATCTGCCAACAGCAATGAAGTCTCAACAACAAGAGAAGAGTGTATACAGCCCACACAAAAGGGGTACCTCTAGTACCCAGCTTGTGTGATAGGGGAAGCTGTGCCACTGGACCCTACAGGATACCTGCTACATTAGGCCACACTACCAAGACATGGAGTCAAAACAGCTCTACCTAATACACAGAAACAAACACAGGGAAGCAGCAAAAATGAGGAGACAAAGAAACAGCTCAAAAGAAAGAAAAGATGAAAACTCCAGAAAAAGAGCTAAATGAAATGGAGATAAGCCATGTATCGGATGCAGAGTTCAAAACATTGTTGATAGGGATGCTCAAGGAACTTAGTGAGAACCTCAACAGCATAAAAAGATCCAGTCGGAAACAAAGGATACACTAATTGAAATGAAGAACAATTTATAGGAGAACAACAGTAGAATGGATGAATCCAAGAATCAAATCAATGATTTGGAACATAGGAAGCAAAAAACAACCAATCATAACAAGAATAAAAAAGAATCCAATAAAATGAAGACAGTTTAAGCAACCTCTGGGACAAGTTCAAGAGGTCCAACATTCTCATCATAGGGTTGCCAGAAGGAAAAGAGAAAGCAAGAATTTGTAAATCTATTTGAAAGAATAGTGAAAGAAAATCCCCTGATTTGGTAAAGGAAACAGACATGCAAGTTCAGGAACATAGGGAGTTGCAAACAAGATGGATGCAAAGAGGCCCACTCCAAGACATGTCATAATTAACATGCGAAACATTAAAGGTAAAGAGAGAATCTTAAAAGCAGCAAGAGTAAAAAAGTTAGTTACCTACAGGGGAGTTCCCGTAAGACTGTCAGCTTATTGCTCAAAATGAACTTTGTAGGCTAGAAGGGAATGTCAAGGAATATTCAAAGTAATGAAGAGCAGGGACCTACAACCAAGACTGCTCTATCCAGCAAAGCTGTCCTTTAGAATTGAAGGACAGATAAAGGGCTTCCCAGACAAGAAAAAAATTAAAGGACTTTATCATTACCAAACCATTATTATATGAAATGTTAAAGGGAAATGTTAAAATGTTTTCTTATTTAAGAAAAAAAATATTAAAATTATGAACACTAGCATGGCAAAAAATATGTATCTATCAACACCTGAATTTAAAAAACAATCTAAGCAAACAAGAACAGAGACAGAATAATGGATAAAAAGAGAAATTTGATATTTAGCCAGAGGGGAGGAAGATGAGGGAGAATGGGCAAAGAGGTGAGGGGATCAAAAAGTACAAATAGGCAGTTACGGAATAGCCATGGTATGTAAAGTTCAATATAAGAAATAGAGTAGCCAAAGAACTTACATGCATGACCCATGGACATGAACAATGGTGAGGGATTTGCCTGAGGGAGTGGGGGGTGCTGGGTGGAACAGCACAAAGGGGGAAAAAATCAGGACAACTCTAATAGCATAATCAATATAACTTTTTAAAAATGAATTCTACTAAATTCTAATTCAGGCTGTTAAAATACTATTTGGAACCATTTTGCAATATATACATATATCAAATAACTATGTTGTACACCTTAAACTAACATAATGTTATATGTCAATTGCATCTCAATTAAAACTATTATTTGGTTCATATGAAATATACATCCTTTTACACTTAAAGAACATAATTCTTGGTACAAAGACAAAATGCATAAATAAACTAGTTAGTAGTTACAATCACCTTTGTCTTCTACTTTGCTTTGAAAGACTGAAATAAAAAAAGGGAAGAAACCAAACCAAACCCATTACTTAATGTTCTGCTTGTATAAAATCAGTATACTAAGGGAGATTTCAAATTTAAAAAGAGTGAATCAATAATATTTTAAAATTTTGTCTTTTCCACCACAAAAATCCACTGTATCATCTTTGAAACTCAAAACAATAACTTTAATAATAACTTTTCAAATGTACACTAGTTCTTAATAAGAATGGTTACACCAGGTGAGATTCTTTTCAAGTCCAACATGTGACAACTTCCACATACAAAATGTTATGCTTTGCTGTAATCTTATGATAAGCTACTTATTTTACTAATGCTCATATATTGCAAGATATATATGGAGTGCTTCTTTTGAAAATACACATGAAGGGTCTTTAGGCTATATGTATAATTCATTTCAACCAAAGAGTTTTACCCAACTTAGGCACGTATTATTCAGTCTTTTAAAACATCTTAGAAATGAGCTATTTCTAAAATATTTAATCTACACCAAAATAGAGAAATTTGCTGTATTGAGATTATTAATATAAAGGTGAACCACATGCCTTGCAAATAATTCCAAAAGAAGTTTCAACATTGCTTTCAACAGTAACAATAGCACTAGAACATAATACATAGCCTCTAAAGACAGTTATATGAAAGGACATTTATTTATAAATTCTACTATTTGTTAGAAAAAACAAACCTGTTTATCTAAATTCATTCCCTTTATAAGTGTAACCCTTCACTTTGAGTTTTAGATGTAAAAAGCATTACAAAGAATTTTACTATTTTTTAAATCATGTTTTTATTAATTTTATTTTTATTTTACATTTTCCAATCAGATCACCTCAATTTCTGAACTATAAAATACAAATTTAACATTTCTAATTCTGGGCACTACAAATATAAAACCGGTCCTACTTGGCACACATTTAAATGATACCTGCAGATTGGTTCAGAGTGGAAAGATTCTGATTTCTGAAACTGACAGAACAAAAATTTCATTTGGAAGAAATCACCTAAATAAATATTTACAAACTGTAACCACTCTCACACAGGCAACACAAATAAATTGCGTGCTCAAATAAACTTTCAAAATGTATTTTAATTTCATCCCCAAAAGAAAAATTTCTAGATACAAATACATCTCATTCAATAATGTTTTAACATACATTCAGCAACTTAAAACATTAAAGGATCCAATATTTTCATCTTTTATAATCTCAATATATTATATATTTAATATATAATATATACAATACATACAGGTTGTCAGCAGGATTACAAAGTAATTTTTTAAAGTCTGATCAATATTGATAAATATTTTTAATTATTAAAAAGAACTATTTAGGATCCTAAAATAAAAAATAAAATGTGGGAGGCCCACACCTAACAGCAAGATTACAAATGTTCATATAGCCAGTCATTTTATGAGATCCCTCAAGTTGTACAGAGTCCACTGTTAAACAATATTCTTGCTACTTTCAAGCAGTAGTACTTGTAGATATTAAGCATGTACATCTCCATTAAAATGTAAAATTACTATGCAGCTTTCTTTACTGTAATATACAGTAGCTATTTTCTTCCCTTCTGTTGGGTTTTCTGTTACTGTTGTTGGAAGAGTGAGTAATGCATTACCAACAGAAGCAACTTTTAGCTCCTTCACCTCCTATGGAACATGGCTCAGTTTACAGAGTGTTCTGCGGGCAGCCACATGAGTAGTAACAGAACCTTAATACCACTAAGAGCAATCGCTCACTGGAGTCATATGAAAAGTTTCAAAGATTGTTTCAGAGGTTTCTGTAAACCAAGGTAATCAGATGTATTATTCTTCTAGAAGAGAGAGAGACCTCTCACATCAGTTAATACAAGGAGTTAAAATTTCCAATGCCACAGTATAGCACTTAGCAATCTATTCTGTAATTTTACATATTATCCCATTAATTTACCCTGAGAACAGAGGAAGCATTTCAAACAAGATACTCTGATATGTTTCTTTTTTCCTTTGTATTTGCTTTCTTCTGGTCTTTGTCAGCCCTTCAAGGGCACAAATATTTGAATCCAAAGTGTGACCTGGATATCTGTTTTTGTTAATCGAGATTCATGCCACGCTGAGATACTGGTGATAAAAAAGCCCAAAAAGGCTTGTAGAAAAGAGACAAGCAGCAATCCACCAGGTAAGGAAAGACAGAAGTCCTCGGAAGAGCAGAGGGGTGAAAATGTTTTTTAAGCTGCTCAGCGCCACTGTTATTTGTGTAACAGTTACCTTCACCTTCCCATCAGCAGATGGTAACTCAGAATGAACAGAGCTGGAGGGGAGACTATTATCCACTGGCGAGGTAGAGACAGATTCTGGATAAATGCCCCAGGAATGGTTACCTAGAAAATTCAAAGCAAGTAAAACTTGAAAAGTAACTGATTCCAAAGCTTATTAAAAATAATAAATACTTTAACTTACATATGAAATTAAGAACAAGAATTTTAGTGGCACAACAAATTATTTTATATTAAAAATAAAGTAAAATAATAATCTTTCAACATCTTGGAAAAAATTCATTTAACTTCACCAGACTATATCTGGCCTCACTAGTAAAAGTACAAGTAAAAGCTACAAGTCCAATTTACTTTTAATAACTGCACTAAAATCTTTTAAAATAATAAAAACATTTTTCCTTATATAATACATAATCAACTGCCTCTACTGGAGTGACAGGGACAGACTCAATAACTTCTTAGAAGTCTTTTCTTCCTCTAGAATATCAGAATAAATTTCTTTCTCAGAAACTATCTACGATTTCAACATGAGAGACTATTAATAGCTTCTAGAAATTTTTTCATCACATACTTTCCAATGTTGGATAGGATATGAATCACGTAATTTACAATTGAGCTATTCCTTTGTTTGAGAGATTCCTAAAATTTCCATCTATCATCAGCTCTGTGGTCTACTAAGCCAACCCAAATAATACTTTTAGTTCATTTATCTTCTTAAACCCCCACATGGGGCACCAAGGAAAATGATCAATACAATAATGGATAGTTCTTCAATAACACTACACAGGGACTTGATACTTAGTAAACAGACTAATAGGAGAACTTTGTTCTTCCATGGAGAAATCTTCACTCTTCCAACAATAGTTATCTAAGAAGTAGAACTCACCAAAGGATTCTGCAGTTCATGTAAGTTTACAAGCACCTTGCAATAATTTGAATGTTAAGCACTTACAAAACCTTAAGTAGTCCTTTTCTAACACAAGGTAAGATCAACAGTGCTCACTGAAGTTATTCAGTAAATTTGGGAATTAACGTTCAGTACACAACTTCTACAAGTAAAGTGTAACATAAAACCACATGGACCTGAGTTTTCAGATGTAAAATGAGGCACCAACTTCTAAAGCTAAAAATTTCCCAAGTTTCCTCTTCAAACATTTACAGAAACAACTTTAACGGGCATATTTATCTGCAGGTAACAGGAAGCATTATTAACGACAGGCAGAGAGCAAAACAGCACGGTTCCCGGTTGCCAGGGCAGGCCTACCTAGTGTCTTCAGCAGCAGGGTTGTGTGAAGCAGCATGATCAGAGGTGCCACATACTGCAGCGCAATGACACACAGGTAGTAAAAGACTCGAGCCACCTGCAACCAACAGCATTCTTCAGTGTCCAGTATAGCTGACATGTTACGAGTGAATTACACTGTCGAGTAATTGTCAAACTGAATTGTTTAAAAGATAAATAATCTTTTCTTGGAAAAGCTCAATGGTAATAAGTTTGTCCTTCATTATAAATGCCCGCAAACTGACTTCAGAAAGGCTCAGTTTGAAGATGTCTTTTAAAATGTAAAAATATTAAAATATAACTTCCTTAAAAAAGTTCTTAAGTGATTAATATAAACTGGAACAAATAACCACTAAAATTCAAATGGTATATATTCACTTACATTTCAAATAAAAAAATGATAAAATCTCTAAAGACAGACACCTAAACAAAAATCAAACTAAATAACAGTAACAGGCAGAGTCAAATAGGAGCATAAACCCTCCTAAATAGAAACACTAGCTCCCCCTCCTCGATGAGCATATTCGACTGAGGTTTCATTATGAAGTATGAAAATATATAAAAGGAGAAACACTCCTGATTTATAAATGAGAGTCAACAACAGGGGCTCTAAGACCAAATATCTTAAAAAAAGAGACATGACAGGTTACAGATCCAGTGCACTACAGCGGTAGATGGATCCCTGGCATTCTCCTTCTCTGGAATCCCCATTAAGTTAAATATTTATGTTTCATGTTCAATTTTTAGAATAATGTTAAATGGAATAAATGTAGTTGCTAAAATTAATATTTCCTATGCTTTAATTCATAATGGCTGGACAACATATTGTAATGTCTTTCAAATCAATTAGGGGTTTCATTTTAGCAATAATGCACATACCACAGCTTTACACCACACAACCGTGTGATACGTAAAGTACTTAAGGCAGGAAAAGGAATTAAGACCCTTTCTTCACTTAGCGGTGAAACCAGATCAAGGTCTCTTTGGGGTCTGTGTAAAATCATCCCATTTATTTGCAATAAAATATTATAAAACAAAATGACTATTAAAGGAAATGAAATTATTTTTTCTTATAGTATTTGCTATTTTTCATTTTAACTATAGTAGAAAACTTACCATTTTCTGTAGCTCGACTGTACTTATTCGCCCTGCTTCTTTCTTCATCTGATCCACACATTTCTGGGCTAAGTTTAAGTAAGCTTGCAGGTGACTACGCATCATGGCCAACCGCAAAGCACAGAGCAGAATTATTAACCAGAGTCGCAGAGTATCGAATGTAGCTTCTGTCATTCTACAGATCAAAAAATTGACATGGTGCTCTCAAAGATCATAGTATACCAGCATGCTAGTTAATGTTCACCATATAACCTACACTTACCTAGCTCCAGTTGGAGGTATAAAGCAGAAGTATCCCACTCCACCACAGACTTACCTATGTAATACTTTCACGTGCTTCATAGAGCCAGATAGACAAATGTATCACGACAGTAAAGTACTAACAGTTATCTAAAAGCAAAAAGTAGAGCAATACTTGGGATCCTTTTCTCTGTCTACCCTACCCCACGAGGAAAAAAAAAATTGGCTGTGAAATGAAAAGAGCTAGGTGCTCTTAAACTGGAGGCTAAGAGAAAGAAAGAAGGAAACTATCGGAGATGGCTTGTGGAACTATCAAGTCAGTGACTCATCTACAGGCAAGAGTAGGTTTACAGTTGTTCGTATGGAAAATAATACAATTAACAAACAATATCAGAATAAACTCTGTGTTTCATATACTCACAACTGTAAACGTACTTGTCCCCACCCTGTGCTATGTATGGTTAGGGTTTTCTCTGATCACCTATATATTTGGATAAGATCTTTCATCTGCCAAGTTCCGGTTCAGGATCACTGGAAGAAATCAAGGTTCTGATACATTATGAAGAATTAAGCTGCTTCAGATTCCTCTCCAAGTCATTTAACCTGCTATGTGCGGAAGCTGGCTCAGTTTCTAAGCAATTTCTCAAGGCTAAGTTTAGGACTGTAGGTGAGATGTGCCCTAAGAATATTTTTTTCAGAAACTAGACTACTGGTGAGAGCCCCTTAAAGGACTTTAGAAAGAAGAGGTAATCTCTGATGTTCTTTTGAGGTTTACTGTTCATAAAATACCATGACTTCTGCTTTAATAAAGGATCGTATTATAATTTGAAAGTAATGATTGGACCATGATGGGCAACTATTCTAATCCTAGCACATACTGGATACTTAATATATGACTGTTGAAATGTGTAGTGATCTGCCAGGTAGGATCTGGAACATACAAGGGTCTCCCTCAAATTTTTCAGACCATGAGGGTAGAATGGTTGACTTTAAAAAACCACATGGAAAAAGGTAAAACACCTCACAACACTTTCCCTCCAAACAGGTGGTGTTATCACCCCTTCCCTCTGCCAGTTTAAGCACCTAGAGAAGGAACTAAAACTACAATCAATATAGAAGTTGCCTAGGGACATGAAGGTGAAGGACAGTACAGGAAATAGAAAAGGCAGGGAAGATGTGAAAGTGTACAGTTTTGTTTGAATCATTTATGAAACGGAGGTCAGAAGTGGGGATGGAACAGAGGCTTTATCATGTTTCCTCTCTTTTAGTGTCCTTTTCACAGGGTCGTAAGTGCACATGGATATAAAAATCCCTGTGGAAAGCACTGTTGGTTAGAAAAGATAAAGGAGCAATTTTTTAGCCACACATTTCCATTACACTGAACAGTAAGAGTAAGGAGACAGTCGTCTGAGACCGACAGAACCCCAGATGCAAGGCCATCCATAGCCCTGCAGGCCAGTGGTCTCCAACCTTTTTGGCATCAGGGACTGGTTTCGTGGAAGACAATTTTTCCATGGACAGGGGTGGCGGGGGATGGTTTTAGGATGATTCAAACACATTACACTCAAGCTCACCTCCTGCTGCGTGGCCCAGTTCCTAAAGGTCTGGACCAGTACGGGTCCATGGCCCAGAGGTTGGGGACCCCTGCTCTAGACAACACTGTGTTCCCTGGAACTGAGCAACGAGGAGGCTTGACTGGTAGCATCTTGAAGACAGCTATTACACAGACTTTGAGGGTAACAAATAATGGGAATGAAGGGAATAAAGTAGTGAATCAAAAAAAATATTTGTCAGTTCATGAGTTCAGGATTTAGGATGATAGTGATTAATTAGTAAATTCTAATTCAGATTATTTAACTAACTTCATAAAGATTGGGTAAGTTGATCTAGTGAGGTATCTCAGGAAGGAGGCTGAACGGGACAAAACACCCACGTAAAGACTAGGCTGAAGACATTTCTCCAAATTCCTGACGTCATTCTAGGTTTCTCTGTACACGTTCTCTCTTGGTTTTCTACTTACAAGGTCATGCGCACATACAAACCGTTTGCCCACATTTTATTTTTTTGATGCTAAATCAGAACACATGGATAAACTTAAATATATTTTGGGGTTGAAACAGCATTATAACAATTTTTGCTTCTGACTACAAATTCTGACTACCTTCCCATAACCATTTAGTCCATGTAACAGGTGAAAAACCTGTTACTTGCTTTCTTCTTCCTGTCATTTTCTTTGATTGATGGGCAGCCATTCTTTCTCAGTCTACCAAATGAACTTTGGATTTTAAACAAAAATTAAAAATCACCTGTCTAATCATTTAATGTAATGGTCTGACAAGTAGAGAACAGGATGGAGCAGAGACAAGACTATAATTTTGTTTGAATTGTATGTGCAAAGGACCAGCAATGGGGATGGAACAAAGAAAACAAAATTATAGGAAAAGGATCCTCAGTCTTTATGTACAACAAATTCTTCCTTATAATTTAATAATTACACAAGGGAAAAATTATCCCCATTTCAATTAAGCATTGTTTTTGCCATTAACCTGCACTAACTTTAGGCTGAAAGTGGGAAATGAATTTTGGTATAACCACTAAATGCTTTATATATACACCAAATCTGACTGAATAACCTTAGCCAAATTATTTAACTTCTGAGGCCATTACTTTATCTGTAAAATGAGATGAGAACAGCAACCACACACAGAATTGCTACAGAATGAGGTAAAATATATAAAGTATCAATTCCTAGTATAATAACTGGTATATGATACATCATAAATGCTGTTTTCCTAATTAAACTAAGGCAAATGTAAAATCAGAGAATAATAGTAATGTAAAATCCAACTTCTATGATCAAACTTCAAAGAAGGATGGAATGCTTTCAGCATCAAAGATACGAGTTAAAGTTTCTCTGAGATTTTGTCTAGAACCCTAGGAGTCTTAGGATATACTTTTTAGTTTTTTCAAATACTAGCAAAAGTCTATTTAGAAAGTTACAGAAGTAGAAGTGAGCTGTGGAAGAAGTGAGCCAGCTGGGCCGTGTGGGCTCAGGGAACAAGTCACACAGGCAGGAAAATGTCCTTTGGAGCTTAAGAGAAAGACCAAGGCAGTGCACCTGAGGGAAGAGGAAAGTGGGAAGGCAGGGGCAATGCTCTGGAAGGGGATGGGGGCTTGGGAGAAGAGAGAGAGATTGATTTTTAAATACTCAGTGAATCTGTTGAGTTAAAACTACCATCAAGGCTTACTTGTACGGGGAAATAACATCAAGACTTCTAAGGATACTTCCTTAGTTCAATTAAGATTAACTTTTTAAAAACTTATGGTGATCATTGATTATACACTCCAAGACAAATGTGTACCAGGATCTAAAAGAAATACATAATATAAAATGTGTACTGTGGAGTCAATGACTAGTCAAGGTTTTCTATTTTAATTGTGATGAGGCAAAGCAGAGAAAGGAAAATTTATGAAGCACTTACTTTCAGCTGGCTGCATTACATGTGTTCTTTCATTTAATTCCAGTAATAAGTTTGTGAGGCAGACACTATTATCTTCATTTTTCAGAGGAAACAGAAACTTAGCAAAGTAAAATAATCCCCCTCAAGTTTTAGTGAAGATCACAGCTGGGATGTAAACCAGATCTCTGTGCATCTTTCTATTAGCTTAACTTCATTTCACAAGGTTAATGAGTTAACATATCAAGTACAGCTATTAATGCCTTTTAATAAATTGTTCCTATGTTTCCTTACCATCTTATGTTAAAATATTGTTGTCTAATTGGGGAAATATGAGCTAATATTAGTTAATAATGTTAAGGCGTTCTTTTTAAGTTTTGATATATATAATGATAATACTGTTATATAGGAAATTGTCCTTACTTTTTAGAGGTACATACTAAAGTATTTAGCAGTAACAATATTATGCCTCTAATTTACTTGAAAAACTACATCAAAAACAAACAAAGGGTGAAGCAAATATGGAAATGTTAATTACTATGGGGGTTTCATATATGAATTTCAATTTATATTATTTTTCCTCCATGATTTTCACAATTAAAACATAAAAGAACTGCACAAAGTATCTAAAACAAACACAATTAATTACAACAGAAAAATTTCAAGTAACAACTGGACAGTAAGTGAAAAAGCAGAAAAACTTACGAGTGTATGAAATAATGTTAATACAGGGTAATAATCATTCACATTCATTCATAAATATTCCAAAGAATGAAATGATGACCTGTAGTTTTAATTTTACAACACATCTTTTAGCATTTCTATTGTTTTAATAATGGTGTCCTAATGTTCTCTTTAAAAAACTTAAATACAGTATAAAACATTTTAGATTATATAATGAAACAAAAATTAGCTCTCAAATACTCATACTTACAAAGGGATACTTTCTTTACCCAATGGTGGGTTCATAATGTAGTCTTTGGTGATTGGTTTTACCCAGAGCAGAACCATAAATAAAGGTGCCAAGAAGTTGACATGAAGTAATGTTCTGAAAGTATGTAAGAAATAAACATAAAAATCCAGAAACAAAATACACTAATAAACTGCAGAAACTTGGACTTATAAAATGAAAGTAAAAACTTATTTTCAGTATTCTACATATTTAAGATATTACTGTCATGATTATTTTATATTTATCATTACCGCCCAACAATGATTTGAGCCCTTATAAAAATACTTTATTGTCTTAATTTTTCAGAAAAGAACATTTATATCCAGGAAAGTGAAATGACTCACTCCCGGCAATGTTACAGGTCAGAGGCAGATCTAGCACTAAAATCTACATTGGTGACACTAGAATAGAAATTCTAGTGTCAATGATCCCCTTCTACTCCCTGACTTAATGTACAGATACTTAAATGATTCTCTAATTCTACATGGTCAATGAATCCAAAGAGTTTTTGGTATACAGGAGCCCTCTTTTGATACTTTTCAGTGTTGCTGAAACAAAATGCCTCATTATTGACAGGAGACAGAAATCATAAAGGTCCATAACACTAGAAGGCATCGAGCGGATGAAACCCACTACAACAATCATAACTGAGGAACCTCTCAAAATGTAATCATTGTGTACATTGTTTTGATTAAGTTGTTAAAATCATAAGGGGTTCACATATTTTTATTTCTTTTTGGAGTATTATAAACATACATGGAATTAATTTCCCTATCCTTCACTAACTAAGGAAATTCACATTATTCCTAACAAGGCAATATACCACAGTACACAAAAAGGTTTCAGGTATGAGCTGTAACTTCACTGTTTCTGGTAACTGTTATCCCAAATTTGTACCCTACAGAGATAGATGACTAGTAGAGAATTTTTCTTATTAAAAAAAAAAAAGACAAATCCTTCAGATTATTTTATTACCTTGTACTGCTTTCACTATCAACCATGCTGGAGGGCTAAACAGGAAGGTTTGAAACACACACACACACACATACCTTAAAGCAAATGACAGTAATCTATGTGCAGAACCAGGGCTGGGGCTGGGAGCCATAAACGCCTGACAGAGAAGGGTGAAACCCTGGTTCTAAGCTCTAGCATTAGAACAAGTACTAGGACCTGGCCACAGGGGTGAGGAGACTGTGGCTGTTTGTTGCCAGTCATACTACTCTTGCAAAGGAACTAGCTTGCCCACACCCTTGTATCAGGCAGAGTGCTACAACACAATTGGGGGGGGGTGCAGTGCAAAAACTGGAAATAAGACTCCAAATCATCAATGTGAAAAATCTTAAAAAGAAGCCGCTCTTACTGAAAAGAAAACTAAAGTGTGCCGTCACCCCCATCCCAAACCACCACTAAATGTTCTAAATGTTTTTATAAAGTGGTTCTTTCATCCCACAGGCTGGGTAAACCATCCCGTGTGGGGGAAGAAAGCAGCAGTATTAGCTATGCAGTGTTGCTAGGGAACACTCTAGTATTAAGGAGCAGCCCACAGCGGTTTCAGTAGCTGGTGATGGACTCCCCTGCACCCACCCTTTCAGCTTATTTAAATCACAGCACTGGGGTTAGTGGACTGAAGTGTGTGTGTAGAGAAGGGGGGAGAACCAGGTTTTGTTTTAAAAGAAGCCATTAGAGAGAAGGATGGTAAGAGAAAGGCAGGACACAGCCAAGAGCATGCTGAGTAAAAGGAGGAAAAAGAGGGATAAAGGAGTGTGTACTAGGAGGTGAGAATAAGGAAACACACAAAAAGCATATTTAAAAAAATGGAGGTAAGGAAAAAGCCAAAAACAATGTCAAAATTAAAATAAAGGACAATGACATAAGAGAGACATGAATGTAAACAGACTAGATAGAGAACTGGCATCATTAAGTGTGGGGTTTTAAACAGCAGAAAGGTTAGGAAATGATCACGTAGAAACTTAATGACTGTACATATATCAAAAAGGACTACTCAACTTGGACTACTACTGCAGAACAAAAAGATGAGGTGAGAATGGGGATGTGCATAGATTGGAGCTATAAACCTGTCATTCTGCCAAGGTGGTGTCTATACAGCAACAGCAACAAAATCTATGACGACCACAGAGAATACAGTAAACAGGTTCTGAACTGTATATAATTTTTAAGTATGATTTCTCCATTTGAGAACTAAAATAGATTTTGATAGCTGAAAGTAGTCTGATATTTGACACTGTAAATATTGTCAGTCATTTGACATTACTAGTAACCTTGAAATAAAACAATGCATCATTTTAACAGGAGTTGTACAAACAACTCGTATGTACACAGATTTTACTTTGAAAAATTTTAAATAAAATATTAAATTATTTAAGTAGAATTATACCAAATTTAAATAAAATATTCCATAGACCTTAGTTCAGCTGCAGAGATTACAATATTATAAATTGACCCAAGTTAAAAAGAATTAATATAAGTAATGGCATTTCCATTTTAACAGGTAAAACAATATGGCAATTGATGCTATATTTTTCTAATACCAGACTTAAAATTTGGAAATGAATACAAGAAACTTGTTTATAATAGAAAGATGAAGTAATGTGACATCAAATAGTTATTCATTAATTTCCAATACAATAATTTATTATTTCATCACAATAATATACCTTCATTGAGATGGAAAACATATATTTATCTGCATGTGCTTATGTACATTTTCCGCTTACTGTGTAATTTTTTCTGTTGTCAAATTCAGGGCATCCAGGTGCATTTGAGCCAGGCGTAATCCGGGAAATGTCAAAAAAGCCCCAATGAGTGAACAGAAAATAGCGAGGAAAAATTTGAAAGTAAGTTTTGAAACAGGACCCCTAAAAATAAAAAATTTTTAAAAGCTGATGAATTTTTAAAATTAACTTTCTAGAAATTTTTCTTTCTTCTAATCAATCACTTAAAAAACACAATAATAACAGTGATACACAAACAGTAAACATCTACAAAAAGACTATGCTTATTCAATTATTTATAATAGATTTTAGTGAACTATAAAAACTATAAACTAAATCAGGCATCTCTTTAGCCACATTTGTAACAATCCAACCTACATCTTCAACATAGAATTTGATAAGTGACTCAGATACAAACTTAAGTTTAATCTCTGGTGGTAGGAGAATTAAATCAAATCCAAGTAAAGATCTATGAAAGTAACTAACTTTATACAAACGTAAAAATTACAAAACTATCTCTAAAAGTGACAGTCCTACTTAAATACCTCTTCACTGATTAAAAACAAAGAACGACTTACAGTAAATCTACTTTACTAAAAACAGAAATATTTTAATCTAAATAATGCTTAATTAAAAAAAAACTTACTGAGATTCTAAGCCTTGCTTTTCAAGAAACTGCATCGCACTGTCTGAAAAATTTGTAAACCCTGTAGGGAAAAAAATTACTCATAGGTAAAATACAGAATCTTTCTGTGGAAATAAAATGCTAGAAAATAGAGCATCTTAAATTTTGAAGTGACTAGTTTAGCTCTTTCATGTGCTAATTAGCATGCCATAATGCAATAAAATTTGGTTATTAGCAGAAACAGTCTTTGAAAACCATCCCTTTGATATTTCCACATTCCATGAGTATGCATAAAATTTGCATTAGGATTTGCATGTTTATATGAGTAAACTTTAGCATTACAGGAACTCATTTAACTATAAGAAAGAAAAACTGGGGAATGTGCAGCATTTCTAAAGAAAGGTAACAAAAAACTTAGCTAAAACAAACAAAAAAGGAAAGATCTTAATTCAGAAAATGAAGGTTATTTATAACATTAATGAATATGCATCTCTACCCTAATTTTAAAAACTTATCTGATATAAAACTTACTTGAATACTGAAGTAAAAAATATTAACACTAGATAAAGCCAAACTGATCTGTAAAGTTGTATGAATTACCTGTTTCAAGTCCAAATTCCAGATAGTTTTCTGTTACAATCAAGACTGCCATTGCTTTCACGAAGAAAAAAAATCCAAAGGTAACGCAGACTGATTTTTCACCACCATCTTTTACTTTAAAATAGTGTGTAGTTAATGAAAATAGAACTTTGCTGAAGAAGAAAAAGTTCAGGAAAAAACCACAAATAACTTTGTGGGAGTTAAACACAACCATCTGTAGGGACTTGACTTCCAATAAAATTTGACTACAACGCTTATTTCGATTCTACAACATGCTTATCTGCAAGGTGCTCTTTGGAAAGAAGTGAAAAAAAAAACAATGAAAATCTGAAGTCTTCTAGAATACAGGACTTAAAAATGAAACAAATCTAAGTGAAGTCTATAACATTTATAAGTAGTGAGTCCACATACAGAGATTAAGTTGTAATTAGGAAAAGAATGTATTTTTAGTTTTTCTGACTCAAATTTTACTAGGAGGCTATTAAACAATTTTATGACAGGTTATCTGTGACACAAAAAGCCATGGTAGAGGTTACATTAGGGACTTATCTTTTATTGGGCAGGTTTATTAAGTAATTTATATTTTGATTGAACACACGAACACAAATCATAGAAACCATCTGTAAGTCATTCAATAACTCGAAATTTGAGAATTCCTAATAACTGCTGGTAAGTAGTGACACAAAAACTAAGAACCGGGTTCACCATTTGAGAGTACGATTAAACAAAACACAAGATCCAGATCAACACTGAAGAACAGCCAAAGGTTCAACATGAAGACCTACTAAAGTTTTAAAATGCTTTAATTTTATATGAAAATATTAGACAGATCATTTTATCTGAACACCCTCTCACTGATAAAATCAAGATCAGAGCAGTGGATGATCCAAACTAGAACCCAGATGTCCATTATACCCAATAGTTTTCCTCAAAAGTATAAGTCTACCAAACAAAATAAGGTACTTGGCAAAACTCCCAAAATTTAAAAATTAAAAAAATATATATATAGAAAAGCATTTTTTACATAAGCTAAATGCCAAGCACAGAAAATAATAACTTTCATACGGTAGTTGCTAAGTGCTAGGCATTACCAACTAACTCATTTCATCCTCAAATTAGTCAGCTATTATCACCACTTTACAGATTAAAAAGAAAACTCTGGCCCAGACAGGTTAAGTAACTTGCCCAAGATGACACAGCTAGATTAGAGGCAGTGGGGTTTTAAAATCTACCCAGGCCGGATCTAGTCTGTTCACTTAACAATTTATTGCTCTACCAAACTGTATGCTGCATGTAAATAACATGGTAGTTTAGCAGTCATACATAAAATCTTTTATAAATAGAGCTCCGGTGACAGAAGTAAGTAGTTCCAACAGTCTCACAATCAGAAGAATCCTTAGTCAGGAATGGCTGGGCAAGGACAAGGACTCTCGTCTTACTTCTTGAAAGGAAGCTGCCCTTTGTTGCCCTATTTAAAGATGGTTAATAGTTATTCCCATTCTCTATTGTTAGATATTACCGAGGACACTGGATATAAATCTAGAGTCTCAGCTGCTTCTAGCTATGGCACTTACCCTAAGTTAGGCAACTTGATGGTATGAAAGGTAGAGGACTTTTTGGTATCTTTCAATGGATACTTAAAAATGGAAATAAATCACTATTAGAATGTAAACTCTATGATATCAAAGATTCTTGTCTCTTGTTCTCTGATGTAGTCAGAGCACCAAGAAGAGTGCCTGGCACACAGTAGGTATTCAACTGGTGAATAGATTTTGTCATAGAAATAATGTTTTACAGTAGTTTAGGCAAACAAATAGTATTAATTATATGCTTTAATGGTAAACAGGCCTTTTGAAGAACAGTATCAAAAACAACAGTGTTTCCCTGGGACAATATCCTCAAAGTAGAAACAATATAGGAAAGGTTTTAGTTTAAGATCTGTTTTTATCATTGGTAATAAAAAACTACAAATTCTTTTCCACTCATGGTTATAAATCTAAGGATTTCTGGGTTTTACAAAGGCGAAAGCTTTGGTAGATAGTTCCCCTTTTAAATGTCCACAACAGAAACATACAAAGTACTGCCTTGGCTGGCGTGGCTTTGTTGGCTGGAAGGTGGTCCCGTATGCCTAAAGGCCACCAGCTCGTTCTCCTGCCAGGGAACATGCCTAGATTGTGGGTCTGATCCCAGGTCAGGCACTTAGGAAAGGCAACCAATTAATGTTTCCCTCTTACATTGAAGTTTATTTCCTCCCCCACCTCCTGCCAAAAAAAATCGATGAACATGTCTTCAAATGCGAAAAAAAAAAAAACTGTAAAAAAGAAAATACAAAGTACAAGAAGAGCTAATTTTTACCCACCTATCCCTGGAGCAACCAGGCTCTCAGAAGGGTGTGTGATGGGAAGTATCTTCATGAACCTCCCCGAGTCAAGCACCTCATTTATCAGTATAATCCCTTTACCTGCCTTTCACTATTTTCACCTAAGTAAATTCCACTCTAGCTTACCTCCCTATCACACAAATCTCTTTGCTTTTTCTTAAATGCCATTTTATATAATAAATACTTTCTTAAATTGTTCTTATAATTACTTATTAGCAGTAACATTATGTTCCTTGGAAACAGTACAGTCTTACAAACTACTTACGGACCAAATGAACTTTCATGGGCTAATCTTGCCTCCCTCCCCAGAGGGGGTCATTTATTTTCTCTAAAAAAATATATTTTATTTTTAAGCATTTTAGAATACAATCTATATGTAGGTTGGAGGTACTATCTAAAAATTGTGGCATTAAACAGTGGTTTCAACTTTTTAATATATTTATTAATAGATTATTATAATACTACTTATAATGCTAGATTTTATAAAGTGCCTCATTTGCCTCAAAGACAAAACCAGATAATGAAAAACTAGATATAACCTCTGATTTTTTTTATTAAAAAGGCTTCTGCATGTTTTCATATTTACTTTAATGAATAGATACTTTAGAATACATATAACCAAAAAATACATATAGAACTTCAGTATATACCTTTTGAAGATATTTATCTGGTATGATACTTTCATTCTAAATGTTTTATTATATTTACCATAACTCAGGTTACACACACACATACATGTGTGCAATATTTAAACAAATTACTTCTTTAATGTAAGAAATAAAACTAATAAGCAAATGCCACTGGTTTATAATTATTACCATCAAGTATTTAGCACCCTAACACAAGGTTCGCTTGCTGAGTTTAACTCTGCAGTACTCTGGCTATAGAACAATACAGAAATCTGAAACTCTATTGAAGTAAAAAAGCTAATCCACATGGTGTAAATTTTAACTAAACATATTTATGAATCTTCCCCCTATTTTGGCTAATAGCTACTAAATCATTTATAAGCAACAAGAGCATACTATATCACTGCAGAAGTTGGCATGATTTTGCAACATTGAGCTTAAGTAGGATTGTCAAATTAATAGGAGGATATCAATTTCAGTTAAAATGATTGCTGGGAGCTTAACAAAGTACATTTACTTTCCATGCCATATTAAGATATAATGAGAATTTTTTTAAAACTTTTCAACTTAATCATTGCATACATCCTACTATTTTCCTCCTTTTCTATATGAATGTAATTCATTTCAGAGTTTTTGCATTTTTGCGCTCATATCAAAAACAAATACTGGTAGTCTGTAGTTGCTAGAAGTAAAAAGACTTTCCAAGGACAAAAAATTATGAAGAGTATATATCTAAGAGTGGATTCTGACGGTACTCAAGATTCTCCAGCCAGGGGAGACAAAAGCCAGGACCTGCCCACCACCAGTGCAAAGCCATGCTGTTAACCTAGGTGCAAACACAAGGACTGCGAGGACAGGAGCCGCTGTGCATGTGGGCAGAAGAAAAGGTTACAAAGCTTTAATCTAAACTATCTTGCATAATCTAAACTTTTGTAATAGTTTTCTAATTTACCAAGGCAATAAACACACTGCATTTTAAATTTACATTATGATTTTATTTTTAGCAATTCAATTAATAAAGAAAAACTACAAAGTTAAGACTTTCCTGCTAAAACTTTCTAACTTCTCATAGAAGAAAATATGTATGAATCCACCCAATTATTTTAAAAATTAAGCAATTTTAAAAGTATAACCTCATTTTATTTATGATTAATAAGTGATATTATCATTTCAGTGAAAGTTGAAGCCGGATAAAGTGTAAAAAAATAAAAGCAAGTAACAAAGAAAAAAATCTGATTTTTAAATAAACAGGACCACTGAAACTTTCCCCTGCAAATAGGAGTATTTGCAATAACGGTGTAGAGCATCTATCTCTGAGCACCAGGTTTTCTAAGAAAGCAAGTTACGAACAATTTTACATTCTTAAAAGAAACGTCATCTAACTTTCAATATTAAGATGCAATTTATGAAACAAAACACTGTGTAAGAAGAGTGGTGGCAAGTGTCTAGAATACAGATGCTCAAAATTTTCCCTTCCGGATATTCTAAATCTGATGTTCCTAGTTCTTTTCAAAAATTAAAAAATAAAGAAATAAAGCTAGCAGTCCCTTCTACGAGTATCAAACACAACAGGCCCATCTCTTTCTTGACGTTATATGGAAGAGCTTACATATTGGGAGACTAAGGGAAAAAAACCCTAAAAAACAAAATACAAAAACTCCAGAACCAGAATTGAACTGCTTTTGAGACCTAGCTATGAACTTTCATTGCCTGAGGGCCCTAAGCCCAGACCGGAAAAACACTGCTTCATTTTTACTGAAAATGGATACGGGATCTATAAAGGCACATCATTTACTGACACTAAAAAGCAAAATAACACCTTAAGCCAAAACTGATTCAAATGACCAAAATGCAATTTGTCAAGTATTACACCCACTATCAAACTTTGTTACCACAGAAATAAATTATAAAATATGTCAACACTAAAACAAAAAAACTCTCATATTATTAGATGCAACCTTATCCATGAAGCATCATCATCTTCTATCATGAACACTTTAATATAATCCTATACCACAAATATCTAAAGTGTTATAATCCCTGCATCCTCAATTCACATTGAATACTGGGTGAATCTTAAAATCAAGTTTTTATTGAGTTTGACGAAAGAGCAGAACCTTCCCACAGCCCACAATGCAAAACA